GCTCAGTGATCCAGAAGATCCACAGCAAGGCTTCTTTGCAGCAGGCTCTGTCCCTAGCCCCATTCTCCTGTGCGTGTGTCGGAGCCTTCCTCTGCTCACAGGTTTACACAACTCTGACCACCATCCTTCTCAGCTTCCACCTTCTCTCCCAACTTTGTGTCACTGGAGACCTTTGAGCCATCTGGCTTCTGAAATGGAGGCACCACACAACTGCCATTGCCAGCAATACATGTCCGCTGCTGGAGCAAGTCTGTGAGAGAGCTGATGCATGAAGCGGCCAAGCTGTGGCCACAGGAGAGCAAGTGTTCAGCGTGCCTCCCCTAGGAAAGGGCTCAGAGCGGTCCATGGACTGAAGCAGGGTGAGTGAGGCATGGGAAAGGCAGTGGAGGGGGAGCAGTCGGCACATGCGCAGTCACTCCTCCCGACCCCCAGCACATGCGCAGTCAGTCTTCCCAGATGGTGGTGCTTCTCACGCTGAAGAAGTTGCCCTTTGGATATTTGTATGGGTCCAAGTGAAGAGTCGGTGGGATCAAGAAAAGCAGCACACGTGATTCTTACTGAGACCCACACGTCAGGGCTGTCACCTACGGCAGAGCCAGTGCTAGGCTAACAAAAGATTGCTTAGCCTCGCGACTGCTAACGTTAGTGATTTAAAAAAAAAGTCAGATATGAACAAGTGCCCCAAAGCAAAGTCTAGACAGTTCTTTCAGGTTTTCATGTAGTTTAATTAGACCCTGACTGGTAAAGGCAAGGATTCAAAGTCTTCTGACCTCAAGGCCATATTTATACAAAGCCCACACAAAAGCGGCACTCTGTCAAGAATGGGTATGTAACACTCTTTACTTTGGATTTCCTGACATCTGGTGAGAGACGTTTTGTGCTGACCCATAACACATACATACATACAACACACACACACACACACACACACACACACACACACACACACACACACCACCCCTCGAAGTCCAGCACTAGACACCTGACCCGTGTTGAATATCCATGTCACCACTATGCTGTCCCAACATCCACTGGCCCTCATGACTCTGCTCTCTACAGCTGGCTGTTTGTCCGCTGTTCTGGCCCATATTACCTGCTAAGTCATTCTCTAGTCATTGCTGCTTGCCCATTTTTCACCATGTTCTTGGAGCCTGTTCTGCCCTACATAACCGGTTTCCCATTTAAGGTCTTTGCCTCGTCCTCAGTGTGAACTTCGTAGCAGAAAGAGGAATACACTGTGCCCGGCTGCTGGAGACAGACTGGGGAAGGAGGGCGCCCACTGTCGGGTCAATGACTGCTTTGGGTAAACACTGTTTCACAACAAATGGTAGAGTCCTGGTTTCCTCACAGCTCAGAAACCCAACTAGAGAACGATCCTGCTTACTCACTCTCAGCAGAACGGACAGAACTCAGGGCAGAGCCCCCACGTATGATGTCGTGGACATTGGGTATTGGACAAAGTACAAGGGCTAATGCCACGGTCAAATACAGGGCATGCTGGGCCCAACAGTTGGTCACACTTCTGCTGTGGTTGTCAGAGCTTGTTTTTCTGAGTACCATGGATCAAAATCTTGACGTTTTAATGTTCTACATGCCAGCCTCCCTGGACCTTTTTGTGATTTATGAATTGCCATCTCCCAAAGTGAGATTTCCATGGTGCATTTATCTCTGGGGTCTTCATCACAACCCCCCCCCCCCTCTGAGACAGGGTTTCTCTGCATAGCCCTGGCTGTCCTGGAACTCACTCTGTATAGATCAGGCTGGCCTCAAACTCACAGAGATTCACCTGCCTCTGCCTCCTGAAAGCAGGGATCAAAGGCATTTGCCACCACCTCCTGGCCATCACAGTATCTTGTAAGGGACATTGTGGAACTCTGCAAGAAGAGGGGTGAGGGCTGGTACATTGGCAAGGGCAAGGAGGGCCTTGCATCAGTCTGCACAGAGAAGAAAATACTAGGAGATAGGCTGGCCTCTGCAGAGCCAACATGCAGTTCAGCCCGCAGGCCTTAAGAAGAAGGATACCTTCCAAAGCCAGAGCTGGGAGCAACACAGTATCCTTGGAGGTAAGTCAGAGTCATAGGACAATTTCAGGAAGGCTGAGGTATTCATTTTTCTGGACAGTGGATCTCACTCAGTTCTCTCTCAAGCCAGATGTGTGTGTGTGTGTGTGTGTGTGTGTGTGTGTGTGTGTGTGTGTGTGTGTGT